CTTTACAAAGTCATCCTATTGGCAAAATACCTATATGAGTTCTGTAGAGAGATTTTTAAAAAAATATTATGATGATAAAAATGGCTTATTAGCTAGGTCATCTGGGAAAATTATTGATCCTTTTAGACCTTTTTCCTATCTGTAACAGGTAGTATTTCCCAGTTTTCAAGGCTGCTGTGATTAGAAATTATATTAAATAAACACTGTCTCTTACAGTGTGCCTGGTACTACTAGGTGCTTAATAAATTAAAGCTAGTATAAATGCCATATATATCACATCTTATTGTTGTATCAAGTGTCCATTTTTCTATATTCCACTTACTTTGGTCTTTTCTGTAAAAGGGCTCCCTGGAATCCAACCACAAGCAACAATAGCCCTGCAAGAGTTCCTCTAAATTACTCAAGAAGTTATTATATGGATTTTTCATCCAATAATAACATTCAAAGTCAAACCTGTCATCTGTTCATACTAATGTTCATATTATAATAAATAAAAATATTTTTTTTTAAAAAGCATGGGTTTGGGGTCTGGTTCTTGGGGAAAGAAGGATGAGAGAGCCAAAAAAGGATTTCAGTGCCCAGGGCCAGCAGGTGGCATGGCGGTTAAGGCGCTGGACTACTCCGACATGGCTGACCATGGTTCAAGTTCCAGACCTGGCAGCTTGAAACTCACGCCAAGCACATGTGTATGTATGCCCCAAATACCATGAGAATGGAAGAGAAGGGATTGTGGCACGGCAGTCAGTCCCCTTACCCCCAAGAAGGTGATTTCTCGCTTTCTCTATTACTGTTTTTCTCCAGTGAATGTATGTACTCTATGGCAAAAACCTTCAGAATAATAATAAATAAATAAAAATACTATTTGAACATATTGGAAAAACAAAGGTGTTTTGTTCTCTGTAGATGAAATTGCACTCAAATACCCTTGGAATATGTCCTTGCTTTACTATGATCTAATCAAACTCAAAAGCGCCAAAGCTCATTGTTACAAACTCAATCTGCTGCAGCTCCTTTCAGACCAAAAACAGCTTTAAAAATGGAGGAATCAGAAACTTAGTCATCTCAAAGTAATTATTCATATTTTATAATTTAGAAACATGTAAATTATAATTACAGCCAACAATTTACTCTTGGGTACAATTAGTTTTAGTGAATCAAACTTGTAACTTTCTAATATATTTGAATTTTTTTTTGAGAGAGAGATTTTTAATATAGGGCACATGTGCTCGCCTGAGAGACAAGAGATTCAGAAAGACAGAAAGTGAGAAATCACCTCCTGAGGGGATGGCTGTGCTGTAATCCCTTCTCCTCCACTCTCCTCTTCGAATCTTGGTCACACACGCACACACGCCCAGAGTGAGTTTCAAGCTGCCGGGTCTGGGACTCAAACCATGGTCAACTTTGTGAAAGTTCAGCGCCTTAACCACTACACAACCTCTGCTGGTTCCTAAAATGACTAAGAGTCTTCTTAACAAATTCATTAGCAGGACCAGCAGATAGCGTAACGGTTACGTCGCTGGACTCCCACGTAGTAGATTGCAGTTCGAGTGGGGGACCCAGTGGCTTAAAACTCAAGCTGAGAGTGTGTGCATGCATGCCTAAGATCCTGAGAGGAGAATGGAGGAGATGGGATTGAGGCATGACCAACTCCCCAGCCCCCAGCAGGAGTGGGGGATTCCTTGCTTTCTGTCTCTCTATGTTTCTGGCAAGTGCACATGCCCTATACAAAAAATTCTAAATAAATAAATAAGCTCATTAGCAAGTGAGAATAATATATTTTGACATAGCCTCAAACACAACATTTGCTGTGATCCCATTTAAGGATGTGTTTTGCTGAAATAGATAGAATGAGAATTACATGGCAATGAAAATAAAAAGTGCAACGAGCAGATCTTTAGCTCAAACTTCCTGGATCAGAATCTCTGGCTGAGGAGTGTAAAGGGGTGGTCTCTGGAAACGCTTCTTTGTTGGACTTCCTCTGGAATTCTATTAAGGAGCCTCCTTCTGGACCTACTGTCATATCATATGGTAAATCAGATGATGCTGGAGGGCAACACTCATGCTGCAACCTTGCTGAGGGAAAGGCACGATGCTGGAGGGCGCTTAGGCTGTACCCTGTCTGAACCATGCTTAGCAGGACGAGCCGAAATCAAATGTCTTCCCAGAGTTTAGACTGACAGTATGTCTTCCTGTCCTTTTTATGTTTCCACCCCCAAGAATTTCACCAATGACCCTCTAATGAACATTTTAGAAAAATATTTATTTAGAAAAATAGAAACCATTGTTCTGTGCAAATCAAGCAAGTATAGCTACAAATGAGTATATTTAAATGTCTGTAGGCCAAACAGTGAGGACTAATGCAGAAACTGAGTATAAATAAGAAACTCTCAGGCCTTCCAAATTATGTATCTTGAAAGTGTATTTGAAAAATTCAATTCAAAATCAACTATAGAATATATCACCATAAATATCACCTAATAGTGGACCCGGTATCTTCACTATATTGAAAATATACTCTAAATCTGGGGAAATTTCTCTTCTATGGTTTTTGCTTGATTTCTCCAATGAGTCTCCACCTCCTCCAACTATGTAATAAAAATACTAAGTGGCTTAAAAGAAAGCCCAATTACATAAATCTAAATGATTACTTGGAAGAGAAATTATATAAAAGTTTTGAGTGGGAAAAACCTATGAAGCAGAAATTTTGTTTCTATATTTAAAATACATGTGATCAGGCACCTACCAAAAAATTAATACAACTAAGAACTTAAAATTCCACATCACAACATTAAGTTCCATGCGTTCTCATCTCCACATCTTCCTACTTTTGCTTAAACTTATAGCTTTGCTTTTTTAAGTATTTAGGATTCTATCTCTTTTCTATGGTTTGAGTTACAACTATTTTTAGTTTCTATATCAGATTATCCTTAACCAGGAGTATTAGGACCAGCCAAGATTAGGCTTTGTTAACCTCCTCACACCTAGCACTGTCCATCTTTCCCTTCCAAAACAACTTAAGAGTTCCTAGAATCAGAAGTGTCAGGACTGGCAAGACATCATAGATCCTACCCAGATGAGATCCAATTCAGAGACCCTCTCTGCAACTCCATCAGTGGTTGGTCTTGCCCTGTGAATCTCCCCAAGTTGGAGGATCCATGGCCCCTTGAAGCAACACTTTCCAGTGCTAGATTAATTCCATGTTCCTGAACGAATCAAAGCATCTCTTGAGTCTAGGGTTCTCTAAATGCGAAGAAGAAATCATAATTTCCAAGGCCATATAAATTATAGAATTTGTCCTAATTATTTAAAGGGCACTAACAAGAAGAAAATGATTCCCTGTAAGATCCTTAGCTGTTAAGGATCTTGTCTAAAGGGTGGGTCAGTGTTTAAGAGACAGAGGCAGGATCAGCAGATGGCATCATGGTTACATTACTGGATTCCCACATGGCCAACTATGGTTCAAGTCCTGGACGTGGCAGCTTGAAACTCACACTGGGCACATGTGTGTGCCCAAAATCCCGAGAGGAGACTGGAGGAGATGGGATTGCAGAATGGCCATCTCCCATAGGGCAGTGATTTGTTGCTTTCTGTCTCTGGCTCTCTTTTTCTGGTGAGTGCAAGCACCCTATAGCAAAACCTCTCTTAAAAAAAAAAAAAAGAGAGAGAGTGAGACAGAGGCAGTCATTTTTAATAACATACAATAAGGAATTTTTAATAATACCAAGCAGTAACTCTGTATTTTATTCTCTAAAGGAACACTTCATGGCCACTCACTTGCTCCTTAACCCCTTGCTGACCAAAGTCTACCACTGAGAGCCTGACATGACACCTAGGACACACTCACCCTGTGCCCACTGTTACTACTGACAGCATTCCCAGAAACCAACAGTGCCAAAGTCAGTGATCAGTCTTCCATCCCTATCTATTCCTCCACTGTGTTCATCACTGCTGCCTGCTCCCATCCTTTAAACATTCTCTATTTGCCCCAGTGACGATGCATTTTTGATCCTCCTTTGCCATTTTCTGACCACTATTTTCTCTAATTCCTTGGTTCTTTCCCCATGTCCACTCCTGTTAAAGCTAGGCCTTTTTTGAAACTCTTATTTATTTTTTAAAGAGATTTTTGCTATAGGACATGTGTGCTCACTAGAGAGAGAGAGACAGGGAGACAGAAAGCAAGAAATCACCCTCTTAAGGGGGATGGCCAGGCTGCAATCCCATCTGCTCCATTCTCCTCTTGGGATCTTAGGCACGCATGCACATACACGCACACGGTGTGAGTTTCAAGCCACCAGGTCCAGGACTTGAACCACAGTCAACTACGTGGGAGTCCAGCCACATAACCATTACACCATCTGCTGGCCCCGAACCTCTTATCTTCACCAGGGAGAACGCGGAACCCAAACTCTCCAGTCTGTCACTCATGTACTGTTCTACCTTGAGCAACTTCACAACCCTCTCTGGGCTTCATTCATCCCTGAGAAAGGAAAAGAGTTGGATTTGAGTTAGACTGAGCTATATAATGCTATGCCAGTGTATCTTAGCCCCACTCCTGCATGTAGTATAGTTTCAGAAAGCAGGAAAGAGTCTGATGGAGCTAAGATCACCAGGAAATCAGCAATTCTAGTACAGGAAGAAAACGTAAACATCATCTGGTCTGCAACCTTCATTTTACAGCAGAGAAAGCCTAGGTCCAGAGAGGGTACTCGGTCATCTCATGGCAGAGATAGGGATGAGGCGGTCTCTCAGGGTGTCACTTGTTAACAAAGTCGAAGTTTAAGTGTCTTCTAAACCTGGCTGATATGCATAATGATATTAGAGTAAAATGTGATACGACAGGTGTAAATTAGTCTAGAAGACATTGAAGTCCCCCCCCTTTAAAAAATAAACTCTATACTGTAACTATCAGGATGTTGGAAAGATATTTGCTATAGGTGGTGGTTTACACAAAATAGCACAATTGGATCACATAAAACGTCTTAGATGTATGTTTTTTAAAAAGCCAAATAAAACAAAACATCAGGTCACAGAATACATATATTTACATTAATTCAAATGCACACAGCACAATATTTAATAGTTTACATAATTTAAGATTTACACATACACAAGAAGATGAACAAACAGTAATGTGCTAGAAGAAAGGTTTAAGAGGTTACTCAGACATTTTGGTCTTGACAGCTACATATTTATGACAACAAACAACGATGACTTTGAACTTTCAGTGAGATCTTTTGTATAAGAATACAGCATGAAAAGAGTGTACAGCATGGAAAGAAGACAGCCAAACAAATGTACCTTTCTTGGACTATTAATCTAACACCAGGTAGGCCATGGCATCCTCCACTTAGTTTCCGCAGTGTAGTCTGTTCATTCTGAAATCATGATTTTGGCTGAATAGTTCTCAAACATAACTTTATTTTGTGCTTTACAATCACTGCTGGTTCTTCCTTCTTTCTGTATCTTTGTTTTTTACAAAAAGGATACAAATGCTTTTCTTTAAAGATTCAACTTTGGTCCTAATAAGTTAGCTAAGTCTATTTTTAACTAGTACTAATATATGACTTTTTATTTTTCTTTTAAGAATTCTCAATAAAGGGACAATGTCAGTCATATCCCCTCCGGACCAGCTGTGAAATGATCAATGGTGCTCAAGACTAAGATACTGTTACTGCAGCTTACTAGACTTTGGAAAACAACCCCATCTTTCTCTGGCACACTGAGGAACCAAAGGGCTTGACCTCATTTTCCTATTAACAATTTTAAGAAGGCCATTTGGTTGTATCTCAAAAAATAAATCAACACAGTTTTTGTCCTGCTGTTTATTTTGCGGACCACACGCAAAGTGAAATACGGAAAGATTAAATCAGGACGTTATACAAATACAGGCACATAATTAAGTGGACGCCACAAAGGGTGTGTCTGAAAACACTGAGTTGACCGAATCTGAGTCGGATTTCACCCGTGCAGACTTTAAGATGCCCTCGGCTATGACTGTCTCGCTGGGGAAGAGCCTGACTTTCCCATTCTGCCCTGCTGCAGTATCCTTCAGGGGTTCCAAGAACACCACTCTCTTACCCACACCCCCCTTCCTTTCATCAGCCAAGGCGTCACTAGTAGGGCCAGGACTGAGAACAGACTGGGCATTGCTTTGGTTTAGCATATTTTTCTGTCTCTTGGCTTTACACTTGCAGGGACATGGTGTCAAGTAGAGGTACAAGAGTACCAAAACAATACTGGCCACACAAGCAGCAAGAGTGGTAAACGCTGTGTTAAATGCCTCATGAGCATGGGGTCTATTTACAGTGAAATTGCTCACATTTATCGTGATAGCCACTGTTTCATTTAACAGGCGTTGCCTATTCATTGCAATACAGGAATACACTCCAGCATCCTCAAAATGAGGGCTTTCTATAACCAGACTTCCATTGTGAAACACATGAAAGTTTTCCATCTCTTTATCTGGCTCTAGCAGTCTGTTATCTGGACCAACCCAGATGAAATCAGTATTTGCACTATCAGTCTTGCTGTCACAGTGGACCATTAGCCTTTCCCCAACCTGAGCCTCATGAATAAAGCCAAGGGCACGGAAGGAGCCATTGATGATGCTGTCAGAGCAATTCATAAAGCTATCTTGGAGCAGGTGCACCTGATGGGAGTGTCTGGACTCTGACCACAGGTGACAGGTGTAATCATTCTTAAAATCCATCACTGAGCTAAAGTGCCTACGATACCAAAAGATCAGCAATGAGTACAGGGAACAGTCACAGACAAATGGGTTTCCATGAAGGTAGATGCCTCTCAGCTGTTTTCCTGGCACTAAATTTATATGGTGGATTGGCAGGGAAGTGATCCGGTTGTAAGAAACATCTAAAAACATCAGTTCTGCCAGTTTGAACCTTCCAAAATACAGATCCATAGGAAACTGCGTGAGAAAGTTTCCACTTAAGTAGAGTTTCTGCAAGTGAGAGAGCCCTCCAAATGCTGAAGGATCGAGATAGGAAATGTGATTGTTGTAAAGCAGGAGGACTTCCAGAACCTTCAACTCTTGGAAGACGGCACTCTTCACTGTCTTTAGCTTATTGGAGGATAAGTCAAGACACTTCAAATTTGGAGTTGTGGAGAAACTGCCTGTGGAAATGCTGGTGATGTTGTTATGACGAATAATTAGGGTGTTCAGCTTGACAAACGATACTGGAATCCACTCAGAATCCAGAAGCCCGATTCTATTATAACTCAGATCCAGTCTCTTAATCAGTCTGAAAAGGTTCCCAGGCACCTTGGACAGGTTTTTGTTGGTGCAGCTGACGATGTCAGTGGCACAGATGCAAGCGGTGGGGCACACCCCTGAGTTGCCCCGGCTCACGGTCACCGTGATCACCAACAGACACAGCAGTTCCCTGCAGCCCGGTCTGACAACTCCAGGCAGGGTCGGCAGTGTGAGTAAACGTAAAGACATTATGGTCGCCTCTGAGTCTCTTCCCAGCGCCTTTTCCACCAGCTCAGCCTCCCACCAGTGAACCTGGTAAACAATATTTAAGAGGGGGGAAAAAGCAGAAGTTAACTACCACTAGCTAACCCTTAAGAGTCAGCCCTTCCTTTATTTCCAGTAACTTTATTTCACACTGGGAAGCTCAATGTTGCCTGTTTACTGCTAAATGCATTTTTCCCTAGGTTACACCTGCTCGCAGGCATTTACAGCCACATTCTCTCAACACAACCAACCGCCTCACCATCAGAACCTGAATGCTTCCTAGAGGATGCCTCCTGCGTTGTTTTTTAACTCCTTCCACGAGACGCAAAAATACACAAACGCATCCTATAAACAATTAAACGGAAATACTTAGCAAGCCCCACCCCCAAACAACTCACGCAGCTGGGAAGCCTCAGGGGCTCCGGGGATAGGCAGCCAAGGCTGTATCTTCCGATGGTCTGCGCGTCTGTCTATATGGGTGTCTCTCCTTCACCTTCTGAGTTTTTTAACTCCTTCCACGAGACGCAAAAATACACAAACGCATCCTATAAACAATTAAACGGAAATACTTAGCAAGCCCCACCCCCAAACAACTCACGCAGCTGGGAAGCCTCAGGGGCTCCGGGGATAGGCAGCCAAGGCTGTATCTTCCGATGGTCTGCGCGTCTGTCTATATGGGTGTCTCTCCTTCACCTTCTGAGTTCCTTTCCCTCTCGCTCCCGGCGGGCCGGTCGGATAGGCCCCGCCTCTTCGCGCTCCGGAGGCTGCTCCACGCGGGGATCCTGCACGCTGCCGCCGGGCTTTTATGCCCGGAGCCCGGGATCGGGTGCGGGGCTGGGAGGCCGGACCCATCCCTGAGCGCCCGCCCTCGCTCCGAGGCTGCGCAGGAGGCGCCCGC